GTGGAGGTGGAGCCTCAGGGGGAGCACACGTGTCCTCTTTCCTTCTTTTTTCTTTCCTTCAGCTGTCTGATTCTTAGACAGACCTCTCCTCAGCCCTCCCACCTCTTCTCAGGATCCTCTTGTGTTATCCAAATTCTTTTGTCTTCTGATGCCCAGCAAGAAATAGAAGGAATAAGTGATATTCATGACACTTCCTACTGGAGAGTGAGGCTGAAATATCTATTCCTCCCATTATCAGTTTTGGATGAGAATTTGCACAAAAGAGCTCTTCAGAAGCTATCGTTTCCTGAACTTCACTTTACAAAATGGAAGAAACAAATCATTACCGAAATGCACCAGGGTGAGCCGATCCGCTCAGCACCTGCATACCAGGCATCTTTCCTTATCTTTTCTCTTTACCTGTTTGCTGTTGAGAGACTACATTTGGTCTGCTACCTCCAACCGACACCGCTGGTCTAATGTCTAAATGTTACCTCACCTGCTGGGAGAACTCGGAGCCAATAAAGTCTGCTCTCTGGTCAGTTGTTACATTTATCACTCAGTACGTTAAGCCTGCGGTGGTTTGTTTGAGGAAAGCAATGATCAATTAGAATGAGGGCCAATAGCGCCACCTGCTGGAATTACACTTTTAGGGGGAGAAGATGGTGAGCGCTCTTCGTGGTTCTGTTGCATTCTTTCACGACCCGGCTTTACTCGACAGAATTTCCGTTATCTGCAGCACAGTATTTTTTGACATCAATATGCCACCTTCTGCATTTATCTTGTAACTTTTTCCTTTTCTCCTTATAATATTTCTATAGCTAAAACGACCATGAAGACTAGCTGCGTTTCACTCTGTTATTCCTTAGAATCTCTTGGAAATTGGGTTATAGGATGTTGCAGTTCAACAGGAACTTAGAGGCCACATAGCTCAGTAATTCCAAACACATCTGGAAAGAAACTCTTGAGAAACTAAGACAGAGTCCCCACCACCACCGGAGAGCAGCGAACTGAGGCTCAAAACGTGCAAAGGCAAAGCTAAGACAAGTCACAGGCGCTGGTTCCACGCCCTGGGTCAGTTAAGATGCGTGTAATTTCAATGAAACTAGCTCAGACAAAAAGGAACACCTCATATAGGAATCCTGAGGTGGGTGGCTGCAGAAATAATTTAAGAGCTATGCCATGTCACCAAGGACCCAGGTTCTGCTCTTCTGGGTGTGTCTGATGTTTATCTAATGATTCCAGCAACATTAAGAACCACAACCTCCCAACCCATGTCAGGTGGAAGGAAAGAGACCCTCTTTTCCTTATCTGTCTTATAAGCGAAGACACCTTTTTCAAAAGACGGCCAGAAGTCTCCACGTACTTCTCACTGGCAGAAGGGAATATTGTATCCCACCCTATGTGGTTCTTCGCCAAGACGCATGGAATTGTTGTTTGTCTTAGTGAAATTCAAATTCACCCTCTGGGCTTGGACTAGGGCTGTCCTCTGGAGAAGGATAAGGTTCTGAAAACACCGATTCCTGGGCAGTCACGTCAGCTCACAAGAGAAAAAGTAAGCATGACTAATTTGGACAGGAAAATTCTCCATGACTTCTCCTATTTCTGCTTATCTTAGGAGGGACTGGCATCAACAGCTTTGTTAAGCTTTCTAAAGAGGTGTGTGTGTGTGTGTGTGTGTGTGTGTATGCGCGTGCGTGCGCGTGGGTGCGCGTGCATGCTCCTATGTGTGCACTTTGGAAGATAGATAGTGCCTCTGTCAAAACATAAGCGTTTTGTTTCCTAACCAAGATAATAAAGACGACGTCAGGAGCTGGGGATTTAGCTCAGCCGCACAGAGCCTGACTGGCAAGTGCAAGGTCATGAGTTCAGTTCCCGGTACCAGAAAAAAAAACAAAACAAGAAAAACATATTTAAGACAACGTCTCTCCCAAGGTAAAAACTGAGCATGTTTGCTATCAGCTCATTTGAAAGATCAGCTTTCCAAGTTCAGGGTTCCCCCACTGTGAAGCCAAGGTACTACACGTGCAGTACCCACCCACGCAGCCCCGTGTCACCCGGATGGGACTCGGGGGCAGGGAGAAAGGAAAACGATATGAATGTTCCCTCTTGTGAATATAAATCCTTTGCCTCCGACCAGGAGTCTCCAGTCTTCCGCCCACATCACGAATCTGACCAGCTAACTGGTAGCTTGCAAGAAGGTAAGAAACTCGGATCTTCCCAGCTGTTGACACTACAGGCATGCAGCCAGTCATGTTTGAGAGTCTGTCCCTTCTGATGAGCCCTGCTGTCTACACCCAAGTCTCCAGCCCTCATTGCTGGAAAGAAAAACAAACAAGAACATAAGGAATTCCTTCCTAACAGGCAAAAACAGAACAACACTTCTGGCTCCAAGTGGAGTCACCTTAAGAGAGGACAGTGTCATTGGCTCTAGTGTCTTCTAAGCTGCCTCTTTTTTATTTGCTCGCTGGCTCTCTCTATAATTATCTCTTTTAAAATGTCAGTTGCTCTCACCCAGAAGACCAAGGGCAATCAGCCACAAACTGAACTTTAGAAGCTTTTAAAACACACTGGCTGTCTGCCTGCGAGATGGGATTTCTCAAAGGCACGCCACCACAAAGTCAGGGCAGCTGATACTGAATGAGGAAAAGGACCCGGTCCTCTCCCTCTCGCTCTGGGCCTTGCAGCCCCTTTCTTAGAAAGTCACAGAAGGGAAGCGGCATGCACTAAACTTGGACATACTTCAGCAGTCTCAGTGGAGTCTCCATGGGGAGGAAGTTGCTCAGAGCAGCCCATGACCTTGGGTCCCTCTTGCGCTACCCTTGGAGCAGCTGGCAGGACTTCTGAGCTGCAGCGAGACCTGTCAACCTACTCTCCTTCTCTAGAGCAAGGTACTGCTGCTAAGGAGATCATGTCAAGAGGAAGAAATAGGGATCCATCACAATAAACACAGAGAAAAATGTGGATGTTTCCTAATGACTTCTGGTGCTCAGAATTTCTCCAAATGGTGACAGCTTAAAGGCTTGGGCAGGGATTCATCATAGCAGAACGACAGCAGCAGAGGAGATTAGACCAGCATTTATCCTTTTGAGTCGAACCTTAGGGTTAAACTCAATTTATCCCTAAATTCTATCTCCCTGATGGCAGCTGATGCCTTTAAAACAAAACAATTTTCTTGCTTAGCCCAGGCTCCCTTGTTCTTTTGCTGTTCTGACAACTTACATTTAAAAATGCATCTGCCAGGACACAGCACTATGAGAAAAGAGTGGATTGAATCTTAAACCAAGGCCACTTTTTCCCCCATCGACTGTCCAAGCTGCAGAGAATGATCATTCGGTCCACGAGTCACACTGTCACCCACCTGCTTTCTGATCATAATTCCAAAAAACCATGAGGGCAGTCACCAGCCTGCACGCTAAATCCTGTCCCAGTGACCCCTACCGAGAAGGAGAGGTTCTGCAGATATTTTCCTGGAGTGTATGTGTGGATCCACCCCTGCTGTCAACATTAAAGTTCTCTTCCTAGGGACACAAAGGATCAAAATTCCTTGGTACAATTATGTAGATTAAATTGAGTTCTACGTCTAACATCCCCGTAGCTCAATAAAGTTAATGCAGCTTTCAGGGGAGTTCAACACCAAGGCAGGGAACACTCTAGCTCCTGAGAGAATCTTGCCCACTGTGACTTTTAAATTAGAAGTCTGATTGCTTGCGACACCGTCTCAAAATGGTACCAGCCCAAAGAAACTGAATTTCCCATTAGCCCTAGAAAAAAATGACAGATATTTAATTAAACTGCTTAGAGATTAGGCAGAAGGCTTACTGACGGATAGAGGCCTGGATATCTTTATAAGCAAAGTCAGGAAATTCACTGTTGTGCCACATCTTTAATGTTGAAAAGAATCCAGCAAGCCTAAGGGAGCTCAGGACGTGCCTGCTGCTTCAGCAGTAAGCTTCCCTTCCTGCCAATCACGAGAAAAACATCCATTTAAAAAGCATGGTGTGGTCACAGAGGAGCTGCACATAAAACTGAAAAGGTCGTGAGTTCGGTTCCCGGTACCGGAGAAAAACCAAAAAAAAAAAAAAAAAAAAAAAAAAAAAAAAAGAAAGCTGCATCTAACTGAAATTGACCACCGAATCCATTCGTCTGTTGTTGGAAGGTGATTTATTGCAGAAGGAGGAGGCTTGGAGGAGAGCTCTGAAAAAAGGAACAGAAGGACTTGTGGTCCGTGCTGGAGGGGAAGTTATGCGAGGGGCCCAGCATCCCAGCTGAGGACCAGCCAAGGTGCACAACACACGATTCAGAAAGGAATTGTGCTGTAAGAATGTTGTGCAACCTTCAGGACAGCCACAAGTGGTCCAAAGAAAGATGTAGGTCACATTCATCGCTTCAGCAACTCACATATCCCTAACTTTCGAAGGTTAATGGACCTAAGTTCTGTAAATTCCCCCGAAGCAGTAGCTCTCTACTCTAGCTATTAACATTTCCTGGAGAACTTTGGAAAATGCCAACACCTATTCCAGATCCAGTCAAAATCTCCAAAGCCAGAGGTTGCAAAATTCTCTCATGAGAGTAAATCGCTACCCAAAGAGGCACCAAAGAACTCAGTTGTAGGTGGAACTGAAAGATCTCAAGCTCTGAAACCTGACAAACCTGGGGTCAGATCCTGATCCACCAACTCACTAAGCCAAGACATTCAACAACTGGGTCTTAGTATCATCAACTTCTCTGGGCCTCAATTTCCCTAGCTAAAGAGAATCAATGATGATAACTGCTTGGGAGTCTTCAAAAGATTAAATAACAAGTGAGCGTGCAGACCCCCAACACAAAGTTATTTTCCTCCCCTTGTTTAGTAGGGATGAATAATAGGTTGATGTTCTTCAAATGTGTTCTCCATGCACCTTTGTACCAGAAGCCTGGGTATTTTTCTCTCCCTTCTTTGTTTTTCCCTTGTGACTCACTGCTATTTGCCATCTAGGAAAACCATCCTCATGTATCTTTCACGCTTTCTGCTCCTCCAGCTGCCTCAGAAGTGTCCTTTTCGTTTGATGTTGGAAATGGGCCCGTGGAGATCGTAGTGAGGTCGCCCTCGCCTCTCAACGACGATCAGTGGCACCGGGTTACAGCGGAGCGGAATGTCAAGCAAGCCAGTCTCCAGGTGGACCGGCTGCCCCAGCAGATCCGCAAGGCCCCAACGGAAGGTCACACACGCCTAGAACTCTACAGCCAGCTGTTTGTTGGTGAGTACTGGAAAGACCGTGTCTTAGTTACTTTTTTGTCACTGGGACAAAATACTTGACACCCACAAGTTAAGGGAGGAAAGTTTTGCAGAGGTTTCAGTCCCTGGTAAGATAGCTCCAAGGCAGGATGGCACGACAGAGGAGCATCACAGAAGAGAAACAATCCATGGCAAGAAGGCAGGAGGCAGCAAACAGTGAAGCAAAGCAGCCATCCTTCCTCTCCTTCTTATCCCATCCAGGCTACAGGCTTGTGGGAGGTACCACCCACACTCA